ATAAACTTGCCAGTGACAGTGAAGGCAAGTATGCAAAAAGCTTCCTTCTCCCATGCCCTTTGGTGTGAGCAACCACCAGGAGGCATAGCCTAGATTTAAGGTCAGTCTTCCCACTCGAAGTGATCCAATCAAGACAATTTCTCAAACCCATACCTAGCTACATGGGATTTAATTGATTCCAGATATAGTCAACTTGACATGCAAGATTAGCCATCACACTGACAAAACAATGAAGAGGCAAAGGATAAAGAAGTACAGATAATAAAGTATTTGAAAAAGAGTGCTTCATTTTAAGATAAATAATAGTTTCATCAGTCAGTATGTGAACCATACTTTAAAACCCAAAAGTAAAGAAGTAAAAAAGGATAAGAGATGTATGTATATTTTAAAAATTAAAGAAGTATTAACAAATTTCTGTAGAATAAAGGTAACCAAAACACAGTAAAATAAGGTTCAAAAGATATCCTAAGAAATCATGTTCAAGCTCAATAAATATGTACCTGTAATGTCAATGCTTGAGACAGAAATTTTTGTATTGTTACTAAATCACACTGCATACACTGACAAGAATATAATAAAAGATTTAATTCCATTAATGATAGATTATAGGTATGGCCCAGTGATAGAATGCTTATCTAGCATGTACTAGGTTCTTGGTCCATCATCAATACTTTGAAAAACAAACACGCACGAATAAACTGATGTTAAAATATATTATTTTCTTACTGAGATTAGTCAACTATTGACTACGTTTTGAACTTTTATTTAACTCATACAACTTTGTCAATGACAAGTTAGTTATCAGAAATGTGGGACTGTACCCCTGACAAAGCAAATCTGCCAAGAATTATCATTTAGAAATCTGCAGAAGAATGGTCACCTGAGAGAGAATGTTCCAGAAATTAAAAAAAAAATTCAGATGAATATAAAACAATGATTTACAAAGGTTAGGAAGATAGAGGTACAAAGTAAAGTTAGAATTGTCTAGTGTGTGCTGTATGTATGTTCTGAAATATCAGAATTAACCCCACTAATAAGAATAATTAGTAAAGCTCAAAAGAGCCAAATAAGGAATTGTCATTATTAAATGTCTCAGCTTCAATAAATAATTTAGATAGCCTATGATTTTAAAACAACCTGTACATGAGTTTTATTTATATCATTTGGCATACTGTGATGTATTTAAAGTCTCTTATTTGCTGGATTAAGGAAAACCATCTCGAAGGCTTTGTTTCATACATTTATTTGTTTGGCCCTACTGGTAGTAATTTATCATTCCCACATTTGTGAATGAGGATTTAAGAGGGCAGAGAGAATACTCTCTAGCCAGAAGCAGGATGAAATGTTAGTCTGTGGAAGGGATAACTCAGGTGATGTGAAAGTGGAAAATTTCAATACACATAATCAGTAATAGTAAGAGTATGTAGCAGCTATAACAAAACTGCCATCTGAATAAGCAGACTGTTTAATGGCTATCTCTAGGTTCAGAGAGTTTGTAAAATACAGCATAAATATTATGTATGAGAAAAAAAAAGCCTTGTAAAGAAGTCTGATGGTCAGGGCCCTAATGGCCACTTGGAATCAATAAATTCATCTGTTTTTTATTTATTATTGATAGTTTAATTTGAGCAGAGCACTATATTGGGACCTTAATTTCTGTATCAGTAAAAAGGGATAAACAATTTCTTAAAAGTTACAGTAGAAATACATGCATGGAAGAACCTCACACAGGGCTTTGCCTTTTGGCAATGGATACAAGTATATTTTGGCCTATGAAAATAAGCCATCTAGATAGGATGTGTACAGTCTCTTTCCCAGATTGCTAGAGTGACTAAAACCAAGAGTTCCGGGTTTAACAGAAAAGTGATAACTTTCCTAAAGAACACAGACTCTACCATGAGTCTGTTCAATAAACTTTTTTGCATTTTAAAAAAGCAGTAATAAAGGAATCCCTCCAGACTTGATACACTGAATTGCATGAATACAAATGACTCAATTGCCCTCCTTTATTATGACATGGTGCACACAGCTTTGCTTCCACGTGTAGTTACGAAATTGTTCTGAGGTTCAGAGGACTTCATTGGTTGTATATTTTTTGGCTCACATGAAACCGAAGGTAATGAGCTTTAACACTACAAAGGCTCTGGAATGCTTTAAAAAACATTTGCTTCCCACAAGACAAATTAGCTGAACCAAGCAATAAAATGTGACATTAAGCATTCAATACTCCCATTTTTATGTAGTCTCAGGTCAGCAAAAAAATGACCCCATTGGGGGGCATTTCTCTAATGTTCTTGTTCAGAGTTCTACTAAAATCCTGTCTCTATGAAGCTAATCAATAGTTATTTATGCCCTGCAGACCTCCAAAGAAAGCCTACCTCATAAATTGCACTCAAGGCATTTTGGAAGCTTCTGGACCTAATGCAGTTTATAAGGACCTTCTGTCAAATGGACCACCCTGCATGCACACATGTCTATGTATGTATACATGCTTTTTGTAGTTTGTCACTTTTACTTTTTCAAATTATATCCTAAAACTCTTAGGACAATTTCAAGTTAGGCGAAATTCTATTGTTTTGAGATGATTAGCCAGTTTTGTTTAGGCTGCCTACTTGATAAGTGTCCTGTTTTTTGAATAAAGAATATGTCTATCTCATCTAGAGTATCATGTTCTAATCTGGAGAATTTATCCTGATAAACTCTCATGGGAATCTAAAAATCACAGAGTCCAGGAGAGTAAATGTAAGTCAAACCAAGGTCTTAGTTGATTTTCTGATGTTGTATCATAATTCTCCAGATAAGAGAAGTTAGAAACAATACGAGTTTATTTCATCATTTTCGGAGACTGAAGAATCTAAGATCCTGGTTCCAGTTCCTCCTGTGGACTTTCTGACTGTGGCACAATATGGTCAAAGGACATCATGTGATGAGATGCCATGTGAATCCAACCTCTCTATTCTTGCTTTGTTGGCATCAGTCCATTAATGAACGCAGCGTTTTCATGACTTAGGCATCTTGTAATCTCCCACATCTGAGTACAATTGCAGTAGCGATTAAACTTCAATATGATCTTTTGAGATACATTCAAGTCACAGCAACCATTTTTACACTCAAGAGTTGTCAAGTCTAAGTGTGGAGAAGCAGAAGAGTTGAGGGGTGGAAGGCCATGAGCATACTATGCAAGAAGTGGGCATTGCTGTCCTTTTACAGTTCAAAAGTTATTAAATAACATTAAATTCACAAGCTAAATTGCTTTCATTAATTAGTTTTCCAAGTAGTCCTCTTTTCCCTTGAGAACAGGTCATTGGTGAACATGGGTTCTTTTTTTCTTACCTTAAATACTTTGATTAGCTCTCAGATTACACAATTATACTTTACCTAGTAATTCTCTCTATATGTGTCTATAGAAGCATATTACAGAATGTCTCCGCATGAATAAAGAGACCTCGGGATTCACAGAGCTCAAAGAGGCCTTACAGAGGGCGACCTAATACAGATGCAAAAAGCCACTGCCTCCATTTAAATAATAAGGAACCCAACTGAAACACTGCAGAAAGTGAGCACAGGAGATCTGCTGGGACCCAGAGTTAAGACATAGAATTGCAAGACAAGACCTGACTGAGAAGGAGATGGATAATGATACTAGTAGGTGACATAAGGTAGTGGAGACCCAGCTGAGCTGCAGCCCTAGAGACAGGAGGGAGTTCTGTATCAGTCCTTGGATAAACAGAGCAGATAGACAGATGCTGGGTTCTGTTACCACAGTGTTTATAGTCCTTCTGTTCAATGGATCCAGGTAAAGATCTTGCAACCTTTCTCAGGCTGTTGTATTCAATAGTTTCTGGCCTGTTTTATCCATTGATTTTGTTTGTTTTCTGTTGTGGTATTTTTATCATTTAAGTGGTGTGAATGTGCCCATGTACCCATCCACTACAAATCTGATTTGATAAGTTTATAAATGGCCCCTTTATACTTTTCAGAGTACATTCTTCATCAGTCTATGCCTCATAGTTCATGCTGGACAGGTTGTAGTGTCTACATGTGTAAACACATATAAAGGCAATCTCCTCTGCATTTGTATTCAAAGTTGAGCAAAATGGTGCTTTATAAAGTGGACTCACTCAGGGTTAAACTGGAAACCCAGTTTTACACAGTGTGGAACAGCACAGAGCAGAGGCCGACTTAGCCGGTCAAGGACAGAAGGAAGGGTGCATTCTCCATGTCTCTATATAGAACTAACTCTCTATTCATTAAATGAGAAGTAAAAAGATTACTAAAAAGGTTTCCCAACAGGAAGTAGATAGGGAAGAAGCCAAGTGGTGATATTTCAGGACCTTTCAGCTCCGAAAGAAAATGTCTCAGAAATCCACAACCCAGCACTGTTCTGCCTGCTAGATATTAGGATATCCTGATCAAACAAACCCTTTTTACATCAAGTTTACCATGCCTTAGGGACCATGTGCTCTAAGGATCCTAAAAATGTTTTCATTCCAAGGTAAACTTAAAAGGTTTGCACGAGACAGAGTAGAAAATAAGGACATTCACTTTTGAAATTTTAAATTATTTTAAGAAATATTACCTTGACTATTTTTTTTTTGTTTTTTGTTTTTCGAGACAGGGTTTCTCTGTGTAGCTTTGACTATTTTTTTTATAAATTTATTTTTTTACATCCTAGCTGCAGTTTTTCTACCCTCCTCTCCTCCCAGTTCCTTCCCCCAAGCCCCCTCTGTTCCTATCCCCAAATCCACTCCTCCTCCATAGGAAAGGATAGGTCTCCCATAAGTATCAACAAAACACAGCATATCGAGTTACAGTAAGACTAAGTACCTCTCCATGTATTAAGGCTGAGCAAGGTGACCCAGCATGGGGAGTAGGCTCCCTGGTTGTCTGTTCAATCTCGGTCAGCCCCTATGAGCCCAGGCCAATTAATTCCTGTGAGTTTTCTTATGGTATCCTTGACCCCTCTGGCTCCTAAAATCCTTTCTCCCCCTTTTCCACAGGGTTCCCTGATCTCCACCATTTAATGTTTGGCTGTGGGTCTGCATCTGTTTCCAAAGTTGCTGGATGAAACCTCTCATGGTATGTACTCACTCCAAGTAGATATTAGCTGTAAAATAAAGGATAACTATGCTAAAATCCTCAGACCCAGCAAGACTAGGTAACCTAAACTAATTTTTGAAAATTAAAAAAAAAAAAACATACTAGGAAAACTGAGAAAAATACTCAGTTAGTTGGTGACCCTGATAATTAGAATCCCCTTCCAATTGCTGCCTACTTCCTTATCTAACAAAATTACAAGGGCTTCCTCCCCTCTGGCTACTCTGTATCTTTATTCCTCAACACCAAGGAGAGGAAATCTGAACACACTGAGGACTGGACTGGCCTATCAGCTTTATGTGTCATTCGTTTCTTATAAAATGTAATAGTCTAACATTTCACAGATACTGTCTCTGCTGCTTTCAACCTCTGCACAGGGTGATCCAAAGAGTCCTTGTCAAAACCAAAGGAGTGTTCAGAACTTGAGCCAAATTCTGCTGCAGAATGTTGAAGTTGTCACTCTCGCGCGCGTGCTCTCTAGATCTCTCTCTCTCCTCCCCTGCCTCTCCCCCTGTGACGACAGGAGCGCTCTGCTGCCCTGGTGTTCACAGGATGGCTCGAGATCTAAACCCAGGTCCTCATGCTTGCAAGTCAAGCCCTTTACCAACTGACCTATTTCCCGACCTTTACTTTCTTTTCCCAGAGTTGCAAGGGGACATGTTTTCTGGATGTGTTTGAGCATCTAAAAGAGGATTGTCACACACTGGTCACAGACTTCCTGAAAAGCAGTGACCAAGACCTCAATTGATAGGAAGGTAAATAGCTGCCAGGATGATGGTAGAGAGACTTGAGACCCCTTTTTTTTATACAGATCTGGAGATTCCTGCAGAACTCCTATGGGGGCAAAATTCTCCTCCTAGTCAAGAAGCTGTCTACAGATGATGGCTACTGGGAGATGGAAAATCAGCTTCCTTCTATGGAGTGGAAGTCGGTATAGCAAGTGCACTTCAGGACAGGTCCCACGCTCAGGGATAGATGTCCAATATAAATCAGACCTCATGTTTTTTAGTTACTTTTTCCTTTTGTGTTTTCTCTTTTAAGAGTGAAGAAGAACATGAAGTCGGGTGGGTACGGAGTAAGGGAGTATCTAGAAGGAGTTGAGGAATAGGAAAAGGCTATGATAAAATATACTCTATCAAAGTTCCAAAAAAATGAAAATTAGTCTTTATGAAGTAAATAGTGTTAAGTGGAATTAAATATTGAACAAGGGGAACTTACCAAGAGGCCAGTGAAGCTGTCAGGAGAATAAGAACTACCACAGAGTAGAGGTGATCATGGAGGAGCAGGCCTATTATTGGCCGTGGTTCTCAATCATTCAGCTATGAATGTTGTGGAGTTCTGACTCTGGAGCCCTTAAGACTCTTCTAAGTCAAGGTATCTTTGAGGCCAATATCAGTCTCCTATTCTTTTTGCCCAACATCTTTAGGTTCTGACTCAGCTTACAACAACCCTCAATTAAGAAATCAATGCATCAACCAACCAGTCAAAGCATGGCTTTTGCTACTTCATAGTAGGGAGGAAAGCACTTTCTCTCTTAGCCTAGCCTAAAAGAAGAGACAAGTTCATAGGAAAGACAGGAGTCTGTCTATAGTCACCTAGGTTGACGGAGAAACAAAATGCTGTAGATAGGCAGTGTTCATTTCAAACATTTTAGTGAGTTTTGGCGGGCAAAGAAGACTTTGAAGGAACAACTCTTTGAAACAGGGTTCAATGAATCCAGTTAGATCTCAAACTTGTTTGGCTGACAAAGTATTTCATGATTCTGTACTTTTTGTGAACTACTAATAGGATGCTGATGTGTGTGAATGCATAATATTTTATTTTGTAATGTATGTTATATTAGTATACACACACACACACACACACACACATATATATGTGTGTGTGTGTGTGTGTGTGTGTGTGTGTGTTTATTAATTGAGACACGGTGTCTCTGTGTAGCTTTGAAGCCTTTCCTGGAACTCACTCTGTAGCTCAGACTGGCCTCGAACTCACAGAGATCTGCCTGCCTTCCAAGTGCTGGGATTAAAGGCATGCGCCACCACTGTCCGGCTTTGTTGTATCATCTTAATAGAAGATTCTTTTATTAAACCATGGTAGCTATTCTGAATTGTGCAATTAAAACATACACAAATAAATATAAAACAATAATTATTAAATGAGTACCAACCACTTAAGAATAATAGCACACTTAAAACCAATGTCAGTTTTCTGCAACCAAAGTGATTTAAAAACATGATTAAGACCAATGCTGACATTTAGTGTAACTTTGCATATAAAATAATATTCAATGACTTTGCTGGGGCAAGCAACTTTGGAAGAGTCTAAAAATATAACGAATGCATCTTGAGCTCACTCTTACTTCCATGAGAGTATAAAGGACATACTAGAGTAATTGTGTGTGAGTTGCCCACATGCAGATATAATTCCTACCGTTCTGTCCTGCTAATTTCATAGTGTGCTCTCTCACCCCCATCAAGAGGCAAAGTACCATCTCAGTTCCACATGGAGTCTATGTAGGAAGGCTATAACCTATTTCCTCATCCTAAATTTTCATGTGTGGGAGGGTCATCCAGCTGGCATACATGGAAAGTGAGGGTGATTTTTGAGAAATGTGCCAAGGCTATCCCCGGGCTTGTGCAAACATGCGCATCTATCTCATTTTAAGAACCAGAAGTGGCCTTTGCCATGACTTTTGTTGTCACAGGTGATACTACATGTCACTTAGCCTCCTGATGCTGTCGTCGCCAATATTCTAGGTCTTGCCATGATTCATATTCATTTCATTTTTCCTCCACATTCGGCTTCCTTCATGTCTCTGCTCCCACCACTACACAACCACACAGTGTAACAGGCTCCAAACTGTGTGTCGAGTTGGTCAATGGAAGACTTAACCAACCTCAAATTATTCCTATTGGATTAGCGTGGCTACTTCCAGTATGTTTTCTGCATGTAACGGCTCGTAGAGCATGCCATGGGCTGCTGAGTGTTTGTGTCTTTCAGAAATACAAAGGCTGAACTCCTACACCTCTAGGTAATGGCATTAAGACATGGGGATCTTGCAAGTGCAGCTCTCACGAGTGGAATTAAGTCCTTAAAAAAAGAACCCAGAAAACCTCATCCTTTTTAGCATGTAAGAATGTAGTTAGATGGCACAAACTCAGCCCCCACTACTAGTCTGATCTGTGATATTTCTTCCAGGTTAGTGCTGTGAGAAATAAAAATCTGTTTTTTTATAAGCAATGTAGCTGATGATCTTTTATAGATACTTAGGTGGACTAAATCAGGAGATAAGGCAGACTTCCAACATGATCACCAACATGATCAATGTTGGTATTACACGTAAGTCTTTCTGCTCAAAGAAAAGTAATATTTTTGCAGTATACAGAATATAATCATCTTCTATTTTGTAATAATCTATGTTCATTACATTACTGCATTATAAATGTATTTAAAGTTCTTTTTCCTTTTTTATCATTGTATTATATTGGAATATCTTAAGTATGTATATTAACACCTTACTCATCTGCAAATCACCTAGCTAAAAATGCCATTGTATATGGAAGAAGATACAATTTCTGCTTTTGGTAATGTAGCTAGAGGATGCATTTTCTTTAAGGACAAATTAATTATATGCTTGCCTATCTGTAGCATTAGTATTCCATACCAGAGGTAATTGTTTCCTTAAAGTGAAAAGGATTTGCTGAAAAAATGTATCTAAGCTTGTTTGTTCTCTCCTTTGAACTTTTGCTTGTCTATCACATAATAAGCATCAGTCTTTTTCTGAGAAATAAAACATATCTCAATAATCTACACTGAGGGTAACCCTACATACAGATATAGAGTCATTGGCAAATGTCATTCAGAAGGTCCACAACATCCCTCAAACCTCAACAAAATGGATATCCTAAATAGTCTCTCCCCAGAAGTACAATTTCTCTAACAAAATGAAAGATTTCAATGACATAATCTTAAATCCACTTTCAGTCCTAATATTTTGACACGGTCTTTAATTATTCATTTGGATTCTGTAAGATCCAATCTTACAATCTTCTTAGTCATTGTTCTATTGATGTGAAGAGACACTATGACCATGGCAAGTTTTATAAAAGGAAATCATCAGCATGGCATTTGCGCAGTAGCTGAGAGCTACATCCAGATCTTCAGGCAGCAGGCAAAGAGAGGAAAGGAAGGAGGGAGGGGGTGAGGGCATGAGAGAGAGAGAGTAAGATTGGGCTTTTGAAATGTCAAAGCCTACTTCCAATAACAGGCTTCCTCCAACAAGGCCACACCTACTCCAACAAGGTCACACCTAATCCTTCTCAATAGTGCCACTTCCTGGTGACTAAATAGTGCTTGAGTCCTGGGAAGGCTCCCCCAGCAAAGCCCCCTTTTCTTACAAAGCTCTGTATACAGAAGATAAGGGAGTCAGCTGTTTGTGAAGGCAGAGAACTTCAGAGATGGGTCTATCAAGGACACCAAAGATTCTGGGGTTCAGTTAAAGGGAGCCAAGTTTGATGCCTTACTCCACCACGTCAGCTGCACTCAGTTAAAGATTTGCCTGTAGGTCCTGAAACAGAGCCGGTCTTTACTGAGGAAAATTCTTCCTCCTCCTTGTCTTACCTTCCATTTTAACACTAACTTTATCGCACAAAAATCTGTTTTTGTATTCACTTTATATTTTCAGGTACTCCCTGAAATTCCAACTTAGGTACTCATCCATAGGAGCCATTGGATTCCGGCATGCACCTCATGACTATTAAGAGCATGGGACATAAGATATTCTAAGCTGGAACTGGAGAAATGGCTCAGTGATTAATAGTACTGACTTTTCTTCCGGAGGACCTGGGTTTCAATTCCCATCACCCACATGGCAGCTCACAACTGTCTGTAACTCCAGTTCTAGGGTACCAAAACACCAATGTACATGAAATAAATAAAGATATTCTAAGCAGATTCCTGACTCCAGCCAGAGAGAAGGA